ATTGCCATGTGACTGTCTCAGTGTTGGCCCCGCCTTACTTATGCCTCCTCAGCCAATCAGCATCTGCTACGTCTCTATCAGGATCAGGAAGCAGTTATCCTCTGCAACAGAGTTGGGCTGCAGTAACATCATCATAAGTAACCTAACGATGCTGCTGAATGGAGAATTGTTAATGGTGGGGCGGGGGTGGACAGACTGTTGAAGAAAAAAGAATGGCATCATGACCTATCGTAGGTTCAGGTAGCCTACAGGCCAATCTACTCGCGGCTTTAACTCATTCTGGCTACATTGCGCTGCGGCATGTTGGACCGTCCGTCACATGCCAGGATAGATCCTTTAAAGGAAGACAGATCAAAATATGTACATTTCTAGATTAAGTTTGCAGCCCGACTTTCTTTATCTGCACATCGTGTTCTTATTACTCAATTATAACTTTTGTTATATAATTATTGTAGCATTTTCTTGCTATCCCACTGCAGTGTCTTTGTATGGTGAGAACTCTTTAATATCTATACCTTATAGATTTTTACACAGATTTAAAATGAACATAATAGATCAAATTTTTTAATATAAAGAGTAAAATATTTTCTACTGGTGTCAAAAAGGTGAACTAGGATTTTCCAAAAGACCGTAATGAGGACATTGGCAGCGTCCGATGCAAATGCAGAGGCGAGTTCTTGAAGATTTCATTTAGTTCTCACAGGCAACTGAAGCAGGAACCAAAAATCCAACTTAAAAAGTACAGAATAAACCTGAACCATGGAGACATCAGGGAAAACAAATAAGAGGAGCCAGGAAAAGATGAGGCACCAGCCCTGAGGTACTCCACAGGGGGGGTATATATGGGAGACTGAACAAAGACAGAACTAATGAGCTGATTGGGAGCAGGTGTGAACAGAGGAGTCAACAAAATACGAATTAAACCAATAAAACTAGAAAACAAAGAAAAGCATGGGTCAAAGGGGAAATTTAAACTCAAAGAAAACTTAACAGAACCAAAACCATGACAGGCAGGGGGTTATAGATTAAAATTGTTCATTTGAATTCTGCCAAAGGCATTCATGATATGTGTGCTACCTCCAGAACTTAAAAGAAAAGGTTTACTTTTTAAAATGTTTGCAAAATCACACGGCCTCCTCTATGTCCGATTTTTGGAGACACTATATTTTGCACCAAATTCACCAGATCATCCAGTCAGATTCAAAGTTTTCTATCTAAGGAAAACCAGTTTCTTGCATCGACTCATTGACTTTTTGGCAATCCCTTTTTGTTAAAGTGGGACATCTATAACTGGAAGTGGGACATCCTATTTTTCTACAGCAAAAACACAATAACAAATATAACTTTGTTGAAATCTTAACTAAAAAGACAGCTCATATTAGGCCTGGGGGTTTTGTCTTTAAGATGCACCATCCTCTGTCTAAGGGTCTTTTTCTTCCACAACGTATTTCTAGTCCAAGGATCATTTTTACGGACAGAACCATGGTTGTTGTTGGTTAATCCTAAAGACAAAACCCCCAGACCTAAGATGAGCATAGAGGTGTCTGCAGTTCAATGCAGTGAGGAATGTTCTGATCTTTATATTAGAGAAACCCACCAACCTCTCCACAGACGCATGGCCCAACGCAGGCGAGCTACCTGCTCCAGACCAAACTCTGCTGTCCACCTAAACCTTAAGGACAAAGGAGATCGTTTGAGGACCAGAATGTTCACATTTTGGACAAATAGGTGGTTTGAGAGGGGAGTGATGGAAGCAATTATATTAGGAGAGAAAAACCAACCTTAAACAGGGGGGGGGGGTCAGTTTCCAGCTCAAAAAACCCGACGATGCGGCGATAGAGGTGATTCCTTCCCGCTATCATCTCATCCTCATCGCCATGCAGGGGAATAAAACATCTCGCCTGTTTAGTAGGGGTGTAAATCACACCCATCATTGCGATTCGATTCAATATCGATTTCCTGACCCAATGATTCAATTATTTTTGATACTCAATAATTAAAATTTTTTTTTTTACACCTTACAGGCTAGACAATGTTTCAAGTTTGAAATAAATCAATGAAAGCTGTAATATCGTTATGCATTTTTTTTTAAACAACAGCAAATAACAGAAGTAGAAAAGTTGAATCAAAAAATACTGCAGAAAATCAGTGCAATGAGTCCGATGCAATACCTCGGCTCCAGACATCCCGCCCCCTCCGCAGACGCTCCGCTGCTCCTCTCCCAGATTGTAGCTGACCGCAGACAGGAGGCCGGCTTGTTTTGTTTTTATGACCGAAATTGCGGAAAACAACTCGTGAAGTTTGAACCGCTAGAAGAGCGAGGTGCGCGAGAACGCTGGGACCCTTTTTCCACCTGGATCTCTGCTCTTTTTGGCCCTCATGTCGCTCCGTCGTCGGACTAAACTCGCCCCCACTTCCTCGCCGCCTCGGCCGTATCTAGACCCACAGCGTGTAGCACAGACCACGCTTCAATATTGAGCATAATTTAAAAATGTCTGCATCAAGCTCACTGCAACACACTGCTGTAAGAGTATAACCAGGAAGCGAGGTAGGAGGGCAAAATAGGTTTAGCGCCACCGCAGCACGGGAGGAGAATTACGCCCAGGAGCAAATGGATAAAAATAGACCGGAGGAAAAAAAACATGAATCAATTCTTTTGAAGTCGTGTCGATGTATCGGATCGTCGGCTGTTGGATCGATGCATCGATACAAAACGATTATTATTTACACCCCTACTGTTTAGGCAGGCCAACAACGACCCTACCAGCTCCCCTTTCACAGGCATGGCCAGTATCGGGTTTTGCAGGCCAACAACGACCTCAACGACTCCCTATTAGTAATCGGGGATTGTCCTGTTTTTTCAGTTCAATTTGCATGTTTTCTAAGCAATAACACAGTCTTCCGATTGGGACACTATAAGTCTGGAACTCAATGCTACTTCAGACATTTTAATTGAGAAAGCTTTCTGGATGGGATGCAAAACGTCTTCAGACTTGGAAAACAAAGTCCAGTGGATTGTTTTTTTAGCTTTTTTTGGAGTGATAAAAAAGCTGTTAGTGTTTTAGTCAAGATCACACAAACCGAGCCCAAAGAGCACCAAGATAAGGCCACGATATTTAGAGACCAGGAGCAGACTGTATAAGGTCCTGGTCTCTAAATGTTCTGGTCTTGTCTTGGTCTTAGTGCTCCTTGGTCTTTGTTGGTGTGATCTTGACCAACGCACTACCTAACAGGACACTTGAAACCATACAGGAAGTTTAAATTAGCAAATTTATGACACGCTGTGACTTACTTAGCACTTCTCAGTTGTTTGTAATTAATTTAGTTCACTGCTCGCAGTTCTAGACAGGGGCCAATGGGGGCCAGTACTCCTGCAGAACTGGTCCTGGCCCCTGTTATCGCCTCTCTACCGAACACATGATACTGAATCAGGAACAAGATCGGCACCTTGGACCAATGTATCTTTTAAATGTGATTTACAATTTTACTTCAACGATGATTCAACAATTAAACTCCTGCATCTTCAGCTTCTGTCATATTGAGAAGGTATCTGCCTCTGCTAGATCAGAGTCTTTAGAACCCTGAGCGGATATTTAGTCTCTTTATTTAATCAATTATGAACTATTAGTGCGTTTTTTCATTTTATTCCTTTGCTTAAAATTGGTGTAGAGTTGGCATCGCTTAGATTTGAGTAATCTTGCACACTTGGGCTTATAAATAAATGACAGTCTAGTTAATTTTCCTTATTCTGTAATAACTTGTAGCTGCATTAAAGTGTTAAGGTTGTTGGGGAGCAGCTGATCTGGGTGGAGATGACGAGACTCTTTTAGGACTTTATTCCTCCCCAATTACTGTCTTAAGCCGCTACTTAGTCTTCAAATCACCCTTCATCATCCCTCCTTTCACACCAATCAAGATGCTTCCGTTCTTTGCAGAGAGCAACAAACATCCTATCAGAAGCCCCCCCCCCCGCCTACTTTATTTCTATAGCTGTCTTTGCTGTTTCTTCTAATTATTTAGTTAATTAATTACTAATTAATGATGATAGACTTTAAAGTTTGCTATAGATTCACTTTGTAAAATATTTCTTCCTCTTGTCACGGATTCTTATCAGCGGTGAGAAACCTTCTATTCCTGAATTTCTCTCCACTAATGTCTTAACTGCTGTTCTACTACAAGGAGCTGCTGGTCCTGCCTGACTGGATGTGGACAGCTGCTGTCATGGTAACAGCCACACAAACAGAAACAGCTGTGGGACATCAGCGGTGACCAGGAAGTTTCTGGAAGGAAGTTCATGAGCTTCCTTTTCCTTCTGAGAGCCGATGTTTACATCACTGTTTCTGTTTCTGCAGGTGTTTACCTTTAACAGTGACATGAAACTCTGACCTTCACGTCAGCATCTGTACGCGTCCTCTGTAGCTTCTGCAAACAGCTGTCTGTCTCAGATGCATCATCTGCCTGAAAGCCGGCGGTTAAAGGAGGAGGTGATAATCAGGCAGATGAATTATTGAAGGTTTCAGCCTCAGACGGGAACACGAACTCTCAGCTTCTTCACAGAAACACATCTTCATGTTTCCACATCAAACTTTCTCCAGTTGTTGTGTTCCAGAAACATGTTGTGACCGTATTACCAGACAGAGTTTGCTGTGGGTTTTCTTGGCTCATCCTGTTGGTTTTGGATGTGTCTCTGCAGGCTTTTGGATGAATCCTGGTGAAATGACTCCAGAGGAACGTTTCTGGTTCTCCTGCGGTTGGTTCTGCTTGCTGGTGACCTCCACCTAATGGCTAAACACCGAAGCCTGCAGTGCTTTGACCTCTGACCCGCAGCCTTGTCAGCCGGCCGGCTTCAACGTCCTCCTCCTCTTCCTTTGCCCTGCGGCCCCTCCCCTGATGTGGGACAGGCTGTCGTCATGGTGACAGGGTAAACAGATGATAACAAGCACTTCGGAAAGCCGCAGAGGGCCAGAGGAGAGACGGAGACAGACGCAGGAGGACGGACAGGTAGTTGCGCTGCAGGTTTTGAAACATCTGGAGGCAGTTCAGGTGAGGATTTAGCAGCAGAAGCTTTATTTTCCAGATTTTTCTTTAGTAAGATGGTTTTAGATAGAAGAGTTTCCCTGGTGGACCCATCTGGCTATGTGCTCTGGTTGCAGTTCACAGCTCGTCTTTTCATGACTTTCTGCCTCGTTTTGATGCATTCTGCTGCTTTTATCCTGCAGAGAAGCTGGAATAGTGTTTTGTGTGTAAGAATGTGTGCGTGTGGGTTTGTTAGAGTGTGAGTGCATGCATGCCATCACACATGCACCAAGACAATCGCACGCTGCTGCAGAGCTGCAGCTGGGAATCAAATAATAGCTCAAGTCCTGGAAGGATTTCAATGATTAAATCTGCAGATTAAAATCATGGTGAACAGAAAATCCCTGAGTTGATATTTTATCTGCAGGAATCTAGAGCTGCATGTAAAAAAAAAAGAAAAAGCTCTGAGGGTGCATGTTCTGCAGGGTTTGGGTCTACATCCTGTGTTCGGCTGTCACATTATTCCATCATTAGTAGATATTATTTTAGATTATCTAGCATGATAATGAACCTATGTTTTCTTTCTTATATTTTCAGTAGGTGTCCCGATTCCTCTGATCTTTAGGTGACTAAGATGAAGGTTTTTAAGAAGATTGTGGAAGATATGATCATTAGAAGGCGAAATGTTTGAAAAACAAGAAACTTTCTGTGTCTGAGGTCTGTATAGAGTTAATGATCACAGTTTTCTAAAAGACTTTGTAGTTTTCTGACTTGATAAAGAGGAACATTTAACCCCCACCCACTGAGCCCTGCCCCCAGCTCTAACCTTCTTGGGGGCTTTCATTGGGTGAGGTGCAGGCCTGGAAGGTCACCTGTCCATCACAGGTGTGCCAGTGGTCAGGAGTCACAGAGTTCACCTGAAGCATGCAGCTGCCTTCATCATCTGGAATGTGACACCTTCATGCCAACCAGAGCAAACAGAGACGAGGAGCTAAAGCTTCTCTCTGAGTGAGCGTCATCTCCAGCTCCGGCAGAATGCAGCGTGGGATGTCACCAATACTCCCAATGCTCTTTAACTCCGCCCACTTTCCTCACATCAGCAGTCATTTTTCTGAGCCGTGCAGGTGAGCGGGAGTTAAACCTTCCCCACCACCTGCAACAGAATCCAAAACAGCGGCGTTACCGTGACAACCTCTTTTAGGGTTTGCATCAACATGCGCCTGAGAAAACAGTGAGATCACGTCTCAAACTCAAACTCCTAAAAGGCCGACGGCCACAGTCTGAATCTACGTTTAGGCTTCATGATTACTATTTAGCTTCTTCTCTAATGATGCCAGAAATGTTAGTTTGATTGATCCACATGTGGAGGTGTTGCTGAGTTTAGGTTCCTCCTCCAGTTGCAGAACGCTTTAAGCACCGAGGGTCTTAGCTGCAAATTCCACCTGGAATTCCAGATGTGAATTAAAGCAAGTTCAGCTTCCGAACTATGAATCAGAAATACAATTGTTTGTATTTGCATGAAAGAAAGGCATTGAGGAATAATTTTCAGGTGGAATCACTATTTTAAATGTCACTATGCATGATTTACAGGTGATTAAACAAAGAAAAAAAGTTTAAAATTATTTTGCCCTGCCAAAATGTTTTCCACAAATAAAAAATGCAAAATACTAGGGATGCACGATATCTGGATTTTGGCCGATATCCGATATGCCGATATTTTAAAACTCATGTAGCCGATAACCGATATCGATACCGATGTTAAAGCTGGAC